GGTATTTGGAATACTATTGTTCCATAAGAAATGATGAGCAGGTAGACTTAAGAAAAATCTGGAAAGACTTGCATGAACTGATATTCTAAGTGAAGTGAGCAGAACCAGGAGAACATTGTACACAGTAACAGTCACATTGTTCAATGTCTGACTTTGATAGACTTAGCTCTTCTCAGCAATGCAAGGATCTAAGCCAACTCCAAAAGACTCATGATGGAAAATGCTAATCACATCCAGAAAAAACCATGGAGTGTGAATACAGATGGAAGCATACTATTTGCTCTCTTTTTCTTCTGTTGTTTTGTTTTATTTCTTCTTTCTTGTGGTTCCTCCCATTAGTTCTAATTCTTCTATACATCATGACTAATGTGAAAATATGTTTAATATGAATATATAAGTAGAGCCTACATCAGATTACATGCTGTCTAGGGGAGGGGGAGAAAATTTAAAACTCAAAATCTTATGGAAGTGAATGTTGAAAACTAAAAAGTAAATTACTTTAAAAAAATCATGTGAAAACTAAAAATTGCCTATAAATTTCTTTTGAAAGTTTACTGCATTTATATTTTAGATGGGGATTAAACTAGGAATTAAAGATAAAATTTTTGCCTTACCTAAGATTATCCCATTTAACCATGAGAAATCAAGAATCTGAAAGTTACTTTTAAAAGAATTGATAAAAGGATGGGGAAACTATTGTTCAAGTTATTCCCATCAGATTTTTTTGCCCTATTTAAGAATTTTAGAATTCATGTCAATTATATGTGTGTGATAAATAAAAATGCCATGTAACAAGTTGTTTCATATACATTTTCACTGAATAGTGGATACGTATACATATAATTTAACAAAGTAATAAAGTAGAAAAACCTCAGTGCCATTATTTTAAAAACACATTAGAAATATTTTGTTTATAAAGTAGAACTCATGGGGTAACCTTTAACAACAGCTCAGTGGTAGCCAATTTTGGAGTGTTTATAGCTTATTGGAGGTATATTTTATAAAAGCAATTGCTGGCAAGTCAAGCTAATTAATTCAATAAACATTTGATAAATGTCTGTAAGAATGAGAAAATTAAGTGAAGTTGGATACAATATTATATAATGAGTTATTTATTGAAGAATTAGATATTGTATAGACATACAGGATGGGTCCTCAGACATCTAGAACATATTCTTTTGACTGATACTGGTGATGTCATTTCCTAGTTCATGGTAAGAAATTTAAGCTTCCCCTTATTTTGCTTATATGTTTAAGTGTATGTTTAACTATTTAAGAAGTTCAGTTAAATTGGTGAAATTCTCTAAATAATTGTTATTTTGTATGCCCCCAGAAGGAAATATCTTTCTATACCTTTACAGTTGGTTGAGGAGGAAGGAATCATCCAGTGTAGCATGTTGTTTTGACTTTTTTATCTTTGTTGTTCCAGCATAAGGTATCTGTATGTTTTAATCTCAGTTTAGCCTTCTTATTGGCTCTTAATGTACTTTGTTTATTTGGGGTGTGAAAGAATTAAGATCTTAAGAAATATGCATAATTGATGACTAACTTTGATAGACTTAACCCTTCTCAGCAATGCAAGTATCTAAGACATCTCCAAAAGTCTCATGATGGAAAATGCTATCCACATCCAGAGAAAGAACTATGGAGTTAGAATGTAGGTCGAAGCATACTATTTGTTCTTTTTTTCCTTCCGTTTTGTTTCCTCTTTCTTGTGGTTCTTCCTATTGGTTCTGATTCTTCCTTACAACATGACTAATGTAAAAATTGTTTAATAGGAATGTATATATAGAGCCTATATCAGATTACAGACCATCTTGGGGAGAGAGGAGGAGAAAAATTTAAAACTCAAAAGCATATGGAAGTGATTGCTGAAAACTAAAAATAAATTAATAAAAAAATATGCATAATCCTTGGTACTAGAGCCTGCTGAAATGCTGTTCTTGAGGTCTCAATTAAAAGTGCTGCCAAGAGAATAGAAAAACAATTTTTTCAGTCATCTGGTAGAAGGGAAAATAGATAAATAACTTAGCCTATAAATAAAAATAAAATGCTCTAATAGTAATTTTTTTCCATACTCTTGGACTTCTCTCAGAAATAAAACAAACTTGCTAGAGGCAAACACCTCAACATTTTGGTGTCATTTTCACCCCTAGGTTCCATACAGGGCTTACACATTTGGGAATTCTTAGTGTTAAACCCTTCCCTTCTCCCCAAACAATCCTACATTATATGAGTAACGCTAACAACAGAGGGTGAACAACAGAGGTCTTTTCCCTAGCGTAGGTTTATTTATCCTTCCACTTTTCCTAGCTCCTAAGGTCATGAGATTCTCTTCTTCCTAGAGCAGAGCTCATACTGGTCCATTGCACATTAGATTAGATTAGATAAGATAACCTGAGGGCCCTTTTGTATTGGTCTGATGACTTCTAGGCTTGTTTCCTCATTTCAGAATGATGGAGTTGGACTAGGTTATCACTGAGGTCCCTTCCAGGTCTTAATTTAAGGTCCCATTTTGTTTTTTTCTTTCCTCTCCTTTCACATCCATGTTTCTTTGTACTACCACTATCATCATAGGTTAGGGCTCTTCTCTATAGGTATCACTGTAATAGTTTAACTTATATTTCTGCCTCACGTATCTCCTTCTACACTTAAATCCTTCACCCAGCTGCCAAAACAATTTTTCTAATGCACGTCCCAGCCAGGTCTGCCCCATCAGAAATTAACAATGCCTTCCTGTTGACAAGATAAAATAAAATCTGCTTAACTTGGCAATTAAAACCCTCTTCACGGGGGCTAGTTCATAGTATTCCCCCCTCCTTGCAGATACACTTAGTACATTTGAATGAATGTTCTGTTGTCTTGTCCTGTCCCCTTTATTTCTGCATTTAAATAAGCCTTCTTCCTTTCTGCCTATTGCAATTACTACTTTAGTTGTTTGGTTGTGTTTACAATTGTCACTGCAATAATTTACCTCTGTGAACTCTTTGTTCCCTCCTAGTTTTCCTAGATCATGTTATCTGATCTCTCCACTGAACACTGAACTTGGTCAGAAAGATCTAAGTTCAAGGCCTACTTTGCTTACTGTGTGGATGGGATGAATCTGAAGATCCAATTTCTAAACTTCCTCATGTATAAAATGAGAATAGTTCCTTATTGTATGTTGTGAGGACCAAATGAGATAATGTAAATTATAGTATTCCCTTGCCCCCTCATTAGATTTAAAATTCCTTAAGAGCAGAGACTGTTTATTCTTGTTTCTTAATTGGCTAGCCCAAATGCTTTGCACATATGCTGAGTACAGAATTGCCAAAATCACAAATTAAGGCTAGAATTTGGCTTAACAAAATTGAGTTTCATCTTTTTTTTTTAAAGGGTTATCTCCAGTGTTAAACAGTGTTCTTTCTGAATACCTTTTAAAGATATTTAGCTATATTCCTATAACTTTTAGATTTAAAAAACTTGTCAGTATGATAGAACATAAAGTTGGAAGGGATTTTAGAGAACAGAGAGGTGTAAGGGATCAGGTCACATTACTGATTGGCAAAGCCCAGATTCATATCCAGGTTTTGACTCCCAACCCAGCACTCACAATCTCAGATCATCAGGTCCAATAAATCATATACCAAACGAGATCATGTATATAGCCTTAAAGAATTCTAGTGAAAGATGACTCTGCTACTTCTCAGTCAGTACTATTCTGAATAATCCCCACTGACATTTTATACAAAAGCTTTGTGCCATATTGTGTTAGACATTAATAATACAAAACATTAATAAGACAATATTAAGGAGTTAAGAACACTTAACTTGAAACTTAAAAAAAAAACTGGGTTTTGAGTTCTAGCTTTGCCACTTTTTAAGTTACTACCATAAGTAAATCACTGATATGAAAAATTGCTCCATATTACTAAAGGAGAACTAGAAATCTAACCAACTTGAGGTTTCACCTGGCACCCAAATTGTCAAAGAGAGAAATAATACTGAGAAGTGCTGCAAGAAGACAGGCAAACGGATATACTTTAGTTGAAGCTGCAAATTGGTCCAACCTTTGTAGAAAGCAATTTGGAAATATGCTTTAAAAGTTAATAAAGTGTTTATCCATTTTGATTCAGCAGTCTCACTGCTAGGCACGTCAGAGACAAAAAGGGCTCAAAGTAATTGGCCATCAATTGTGGAATGGCTAAACAAATTGTGGGATATGTATGTGTGTATAAATAAAATGGTACTGCTGTTTCATAAGGCATGGTACAAAGATTTGAAGCATAAGATCAATAAACTGATAAGTGAAGTTAAACGAGAAAAATCATGTAAACAGAACAAAAAAATACAACACTGTCTAATTACCGAGGGTGCAGCTGTAGAGTTGAGAAAATGTACTGTTTACATTGGTAGAGATGAGGAAAGAGAAACAATGGATATAGAATATGCATATGCTCATCAAAATATCTGGAATGTGATGGTTTGCTGGGCGAAGGAGGGATATGGTTATGTGATAGAAAACAAAAGGCATAATGAAATTAAAGTAGAATCAAAATTTTTTAAAAAATGTTTGGTCCTGAGAGATCAAATCTCAATAAAAATGAGTTTCTGCATTGTTTCTTACATTGGCTGGGGTGGGCAGGAGGTTGGTTATAGTAATAAATACCGTAATAAAACCAATCAAGCAAAATTATTCAACAGCTGCTTTAAATTTAAAAAGTAGACCTGCCTCCCCAGACTAGGTTGGTTCCAGGCTCTTAACCGTAAATGAAGTTCCCAGTATACTTCACATTGGATTCTTTTTAGGACAATCATTATTCCTTAAGAGTAAACCAGAACTGATTTTCTTTGAACTTTAATTTTTTTTTCGTTTAACCAATCAATGCATCCCTATCTCACTATGAATTACTATTCTGTGGATATTTTTCAATAGCAACAATATTCAACTTTACGTAAGCTTATTGTGAACACTAAAAATTTTGTCTTGAAAAAGCTGAATAAATGGTCACACAAGTCTCTTCTCTTAGTGATAATTTTATTAATACAATTTGAGTTCTCTGTCCAGGAGAGAAGAGCTAGAATTGGCTATGGGGTTTCTGAGTTAAAAGGATAGGAATTCTATTTGAAAATATTAAGGAATATAGTAACAACTTTTCTTCCACACCAAATTTTAATTTCCTTAATTTCTTAAAATGTTCTCAAAAAAAAAGGCAGACTAAAATAACAGAAAGGTATGGAAGTAATTACCAGCCACTGTAACACAAAGCCATTGTACCACAAGTCTATATACTTAGAAGTTGTTAGTCTTCAGGTTAAACCACTTTTTTAAAAAGGTACTTAAAACCTTTTAGTTCTTCCCCCAAGCAAAAATACTGTTAAGAACTCATAAATCTCCTACCTCCCCTAGGCTATTTATTCGACAAATCCATATAGAATACCTCCCCAACAATTAAATTATAGGAATGGAACAACATAGCTGCCTTAGGTTTGCTTTTAATTTCCTTCTGAAAGAGGAAAGGCAGGCAAGGTAGGATTTCCTAATAAAAGCACTATACCTTTGCTGAAAAGGGATATATAAATCAAATCATATGTGTAAAAATGATTTTTTGAGGTAAGGCACTGTTGCCCAAAAGATAAGATAGATTAGGGCTTAAATACCAGCTTGCAGTTGCATTATGCTTCCATTCTTCTCAAAGAAGATGTAACTTGCTTTTCTTGAAAATTCTTAGTAAAAAGATGACACTTAATACAAGCTCTAATAACCCTGGTAGAATGGTGATACCAACCACATTTAGGAACTCTACTTTTCCTTAGATGGTGTTCATCCTTTTGATGTCACCTCTTTCAAACCAAGTAATGGAAGTAACCTTTTAGGGATAAAACATGAGCAAAAAAAATAGAGCCAGGTAAAACAGTCTAGAAAATAGGAACATTTTTTTGAGAGTACCCAGTGTTAGAAAGTCAGAATGGATAGTCACAAAAGCAGGTTAAAAAGCCCCAGCAGCTTAAAGGGTAAATGATAAAAGTTTTTCTTTAGCAAGTTCATAGTATGCTTAATGAAAACTTTTAAGGAAAGGTGTAATTTTCCTTCATTTTGTTATTTTGAAAATGATTAAATCACACATCAAAGCTGCTACATTTGTAGGATGTAGGATCTAAAGCAAGATATCAATTCAGTTCATAAATTCTGTAATCTTTATTCTGCAGTCTTTATTCCCATTTAAATAATTCCTTAAAAGTTTGCCTGAGTTTGGGGAAGCTTGAGTCATGATTTATCACAAATAGTTAGCTGTTCTTATAAACCAAAACAGGAAGCTTGCTCTCTAGTGCCTACTTGTGTTCATAGTTCAGGATAATAGTTCTTTCCATGGATCACTGTCACCAAGGCAGCCAAAGACAAAACCTTCTATTTCATCCAGAAGATTGATTTAAAGGAAAATCAGTAGCAAAAAAAGCAAAAGCAAAGTTTTGCTTCAAATGGGCAAATGTATTAGTCCAAGCCATCCATCCATTCAGGGTTCTAACAGTTTTAAAAATTAAAACATATTACAAGTGATACTCTGAACTGATGAGGCCTTATTTTGAAGTCTTAGTTTCAGAAGGATTTTCCCCTGTATCCAGTGTCTTCAATAATCGGAAAAGGCCTGCTGCTTCTCGTATCCGACTGAATTCAATACAGAAAGCTTGCACTTCTATGAATAAATCCTGTACATTAATTATTTTGTTGCGGATCAAAGACTGGAGAAAGACACATACGAGCCGCACCAAACGATTCTGAAACAGAAACATAAAGCTTAAGTTTTTTTAAAGCCCACCCTATTTGCCAAGGAAAGTTTTTGTAAGTTTTTATTATTTACCTGCATGTATTTGTCCTTAATCTGCTCACAGGTAGAGATACAATTTGATATATAAAGGTGAATAAACTCAGGAGGTAGATCAACAGCTGTCGTAAGTCTGTTGGAAAACAAATGTATATAAAAGTAAGATTAAAGACAATCATAAAGTTTTTTCTCTTTGGGTCATTCTATGAAAAGAATTTCCAACATTATTTTAATTACATTTTTAATTTTTATTAATTTTAATTAATTAAGATGTGATATTAAACCCTAAAATGTCAATTTCATGTGTTTTGTTCATCTAACAAATATTTATTGACGGGGCAGCTAGGTGGCGCAGTGGATAGAGCACTGGCCCTGGATTCAGGAGGACCTGAGTTCAAATCCGGCCTCAGACACATAACGCTTACTAGCTGTGTGACTCTGGGCAAGTCACTTAACCCCATTGCCTAGCCAAAAAAACCCCCCAAAACAAATATTTATTGACCATATACCTTCAGCAAGGCTGTAAAGGGAAATAATAAGGTGCTGTCCTCCTACAGCACATTAGGTAAAAGGTTTTGTAAGGATTATAAAGGAAACTTTGAGTGGGGAGGGAATGAAGATGGGAATCATAGAAGGCAGCATGGTTATGTTTGACCTGGATCATGAGGATTTCAACAGAAATGGGTGAGGAAGGCAAACTCCAGGCTGAGCAATGGCAAAGGACAGAAAGTGTCATTTGTGGAACTGTGAATGTAGTGATTGGCATCGTGACTCATTAATCTGTAACCAAGAATCCCCTTCCTGGCTACTCCTTGCAGCCTTTTCTGTCATCCAACAAATATTTATTAAGCATTTAATAGAGACAGAAGAGAGACCCTGCTTCTAGAACTCTATGGTCCAGAGCTCTCTGCACTCCACCTGCCACCTCTATTACTTTCCACTGGCCATTCTTCTATTGCTTCAATCAAGAGGCAGCTCAAGCAGCACCTTCTAACATGAAGATTTTTCTGATCCCTCCAACTGCTTAATGCTTTCTCCTCAAATGCCTTCTGATACTTTGCTCTCCATCATCATCATCACCCTCCTGCTACCACTAAATAGATAAAGAGGAGAGGAGGCAAGGGAGAGAGAGTACAAAGTTGTTTTCATGTTGTCTTTCCCCATTAGAGCTCCCTAAAGAGTAGGGACTGAGGGACAGCGAGGTGGTGCAGTGGATAGAGCACCGGCCCTGGAGGCGGGAGAACCTGAGTTCAAATGTGGCTTCAGACACATAACACTCACTAGCTATGTGACTCTGGGCAAGTCACTTTACCCCACTGCCTAGCAGAAAAAAAAAGTAGGGACTGTCTTTGTCCAGCACTTTGCAAGGTCCCTAGAACACAGTAAATAAATGCTTGTTGGTTATTATGACTTTATATTTATTCTGTTTATACTTACTTACCTACATGTTTCCCCTGATAGAATGTAAGTGGCATGAAAGTAGGGACTGTTCTGTTAGGTTTTTTTTTTTTGCAACCTGCTCTTAGCACTGAGATGCTAAAATAAATGCTTGTTGATTTACTGTGGGAATTCAGTAATTAAATTGCAGTTAGAGGCACACAGATATATGCACACATAGACTTTATGCAAGCAAAAGGAGAGATCCAAGGAAAATATGATGAATCTTAAGAAATAAGCTGAGGTGGGAGTGTAGGGAGGAGTTGAAAGGGCCATTCTTAAATGGGCACCAGAATGCCCAAAGGAAGAGGGAATGGAAGAGTAACTAGGTTCATCAGTAAGGAAATAGTCATGACCTAAAAGTCACAAGGCATACTGGAAGAATGGTGATACCAACCAGGACAGAAGGTAAGGGGAGGGGCAGGTTTTGGAGAAAAGTCATGGTTGGAGAACAAAAAGCAAAGGAAATGGAAGTGGTCAAATATGTAAAGCCAAGTCTTCTGTGTCACAGAAGATGAGACAAGTCTCCAGTTTCGTTCAGCTTCAATTTGTCTCTCTTTACTGGTCCCATCCAGCTACCATCCCAGTCCTTCCCCTTTTCTGCCAAATCTTCTTTTAAAATGCTGTCTACACCCAACGCCTCAACTTCTCTCACAATCAACCTTTAAAACCAGGCTTCTGCACTGACTTTTTACTGAAGTTGCCTTTTCAAGGTCACTTAATTAGCAAATAAAATAAGGCTTTTTTTTAGTTCTTATCTTCCTCAACCCTTTTGGCAGACACAGATACCCCACCCCCACCCCCAACTCTTAAATACTCTTTCCTCCTTTGGTTTCTGAAATACTAAATTTTGCTAGCTCTCTTCAGCATGGCATAGAGTGCTGGTTCAAAACCTGATTTGGTCACTTATACTGTTCCTGTGGGCCAGGGGTGGGGAACCTGCAGCCTTTTAACTGAGTCCAAGTTTTATAGAACAAATCATTTTATTAAGGGGTTTTGGTCTATGAAGTTTGGATTCTGTCAAAGAGTCACATGTGAGGACCTATGTGGCCTTGAGGCTGCAGGTTCTCCACCCCAGAACTGGGCAAATCATTTAACTCTTTCAAGACATCTACAATGAAGTTTCCCCCCAAGGTTCTGTCTTTGGCCCCATCGTAACTTTACGCTTTTACTTTGCAGTATCTGACACTTCATGGCCTCTGCAGGGATGAGTTCCAAATCTCTCTTTTTAGCCCTGACTTCTCTCCTAAGCACTCACCAGACCCACATCTCTGATTGCCTATATAAGCATCTTCATTTGCATGTCTCATCAAGTCCTCAAACTCAATGTATCTCAAACAAACATTTCATCTAAAACTGTTCCTCTTTTTGACTTAACTATGTCAGTGGCATATTTTAATCTCCCCATAGCCAAAATCTTGGGTCTTATTTTTCACTCTTCCCTCTCCTTTGTTTCATATCTAATCAATTACCAATATTGATACTACTTCCAAAACACCATGCATCTATCCTATTCCTTTATATGTACTTCCTGCCACCATCTTTTTCTTGGAAAATAGCATCCTAACAAATCTTATTTCCATTTCTTCTCCTCCAGTCTACCTTCCCTATCAATGTCAGTTCAGTCTTCCACAGGCAGAGATCTGAAGCAGTCCTCTGCTACAAAGATTTGATTGATTCTCTTGCCTTCTACATGAAGTTCAAACTCCTTAGCCTGGCATAAAGGAATGTCATAATCTGATACTATCACGCTTTTCTAATTCCCTTCTGCATATTCTATGCTCCAGCTAAGTAGGACTACTTTCTGTCACATGAACCTACCTTGTATTTTCTTGCCTCTGTGCCTTTGCTCATTCTTCTCCATGCCAGTTATGTTCCCCTACCTTCTCTTTGACCACTGAACCATTTTAAAGTCCAACTCAAATGCCATCTTCTCCATAAGGCCATGCATGATTCAACCAGTTGGTTATGACTTTTCTTACACTAGGAAATCATACAGCACTTTGTTTTGCATCTAATACATGTTGTAGTTATCTTTATATCTTAGCTTCAGTCTCATGAGTAGGTACTATCTTGTCTTAACATTTTATTATTTTACACACGGTTGCTTTTGTTATTGAACACATGTATAGAATGAAGTATCTGCTTCTCTATAGAGAGAATTCTAGATGCCTTTGAATTAAATAACTTGCATTTATATAACAGTTTAAATGTAGTCTCATTTTACTATTAAAACAATGTGTTCAAGTACTCTACCTTTTTACAAATGAGAAAACTGGGCCCAGAGAGTTGTTTAAGTAACTTGCCCTAGACTGCCCAAGACTTTCAAGTTCATGTGATTATAACTCTACACATTGGCTATTCTTTACCTCACCCCAGCCCACAAACAATTACACTAATTTACTAAAGAAACGCTAGGGGGTGGGGGGTGGGTCTTGAACTTGTTTTTTTAAAAACATTTTGGTAAATGTATTTCAGTATAATTGCCTTCCTTTCAGTTCTTTGATTTTTAATTTATGTATTTAAAAAACATTCTGAAAATGGGTCTTCAGGCTGAAACCAAAGGAGTTGACAACGAAAACAAAAAAAGTCAAGAATCCCTGTTTTATACAGAAGACACAGCAGTCAATGACTATAGTAATCTACTGTTTGACAAACCCAAAGACTCCAGCTTCTGGGATAAGAACTCACTATTTAATAAAAACTGCTGGGAAAATTGGAAAATAGTACGGCAGAAACTAGGCACAGACCAACATCTTACACTGTATACCAAGATAAAGTCAAAATGGGTACACAATTTAGATATAAAGACTGATACTATTAAACAAACTAGGAGAGCAAGGAATAGTTTACCTGTCAGATTAATGGAGAAGGGAAGAACTTATGACCAAACAAGAGACAGAGAACATTATGAAATGTGAAATGGATAATTTTGATTACATTAAATTGAAAAGTTTTTGCATAAAAAAAAGCCAATGCAACCAAACTTAGAAGGGAAGCAGAAAGCTGGGAAACAATTTTTACAGCCAGTATCTCTGATAAAGGCCTCATTTCTAAAATATAGAGAACTGAGTCGAATTTATAAGAATACAAGTCATTCCTCAATTGATAAATGGTCAAAGGATATGAAGTTTTCAGATGAAGAAACTAAAGCTATCAATAATCATATGAAAAAAAATACTCTAAATCACTATTGATTAGAAAAACGCAAATCAAAACAACTCAGAGGTACCACATCACACCTATCACATTGGCCAACATGACAAAACAGATTGTAAATGATAAATGTTGGAGAAGATGTGGAAAAATTGGAACACTAATGCATTGTTGGTGGAGCTATGAAATGATCCAACCATTCTGGAGAGCAATTTAGAATTATGCCCAAAGGGCTATAAAAATGTGCATACTCTTTGATGCAGCAATAGCACTTCTAGGGCTGTATCCCAAAGAGATCATAAAAAAAGGTAAAAGGACTCACGTGTACAAAAATAATTATAGCAGCTCTTTTTGTGGTGGCAAAGAACTGGAAATTGAGAGGATGCCCATCAATTGGGGAATGGCTGAACAAGTTGTGGTATATGAATGTAACGGAATACTATTGTGCTATAAGAAATGATGAGCAGACTTCAGAAAAACCTGGACTTACACGAACTGATGCTGAGTGAAGTGAGCAGAACCAGAACATTGTATACAGTT